CGGGCGCTCGGAGCCGCGGCCGTGGGGCCACCGGCGCGGGGCGGGACGGCGGTGGGGAGGGGTCAGCCCACTCCGCGTCCACCCGGGGCCTCTGCTGTGTCGCCGCAGGGCCGAGCACCCCTTCCTGCCCCGGTCCAGGAAACCGAAGCCCGGTTATCCGTGCTGAGCGCCCTTCCCTTGGTTTGGAGGAGAAACCGCAGGGCCCGGGTCGGGGGCTGGCGCGGCCGCTGCCCGGTGCCGTGGGGTGGTGCAGGGCGGAGAGGCCCGCCCCCACCCCAGCCCGGCGGTGCTGGCGTCTTCAGAATCCAGATCTGGAGCCATGATTTGGGGCGGGTTGGGGGAAAAGGAAGAGTTCCTGCTCTTGGTGCAGATGGGGGCCTGAGGTCGTGGCTCGGGTATGTGTGTTGGGGGTCTTGGCCCTATTGAGCTCTGTCTTCTAGGACCCCGATGCCTGCAGGTCGTTGGAGGAACTGCCCCACCGTCCTGACTCCCCTGAGAATTGGGGGAGAGTGACTGGTGTGTTTGGGTTCCCGCTTGCCCTTCCATCCCGTCGGCTGATTGGGGGCGGGGAGTCTCCCGAGCAGCCGGGTGAGGACCTAAGTGCGTCCATAAAGGGTGGGTTTGAGCAGGGACTTCGCCTCGCAGGCGGCTGGGGTTGACCCGCAGACCCACAGCCCTGGGTGAGGAGATGGCCATGTGGTCCGGCGCAAGTCTTGAGGTTTTTTTTTTTGGTACTATGGATGGGACCTTCTTATCACCGAACTACATCCCTACGTCCTTTTTCAAATTTTTTAGAATATATCTGTTTGCAGTACTGGGGATTGAACCCAGAGCCTCCACACTGAGCTACTTTCCTGGCCCATTTTTAATTTTTTTAAATTTTTATTTCGACACCGGGTCTCCGAGTTTCCCAGGCTGACCTCAGAACTTGGTCTCCTCCTGCCCCAGCCTCTCAAGTAGATGGGATGGGATTGCAGGCGTGCAACACCGTGTCCGGGCCTCCTTTTCCTAATTGCTTTTCTGGGAGAGAAAACAGGACCCTGGAAAGTGGAGCCGGGCTGGTCCTCCTTGCGGCTGAGGTGCCTTCGAGGTGGTGGTTGAAAGGATGGGTGCAGGGCGCTCTGGTAGCATTTAGCAGACCTCGGGTCTGGGGCCCAGGGTCTGCTCTGGTCTGGCAAGAGCAAGGGCGGGTCCCCTCCCCTCATCAGCTTCTGAAGTGCTTCCGGAGCTCTTTGGGGGCTCCACCTTGTTTTAGGGGGTTGGGCTGGAACTGGCCTCTTTGGTTTAAGCGCCCCTAGGCCTTCAGTGCTGCGATCGGAAAGAGAAAGAACATGGCAGCCCGGCCGGCCCTTCCTCAGCCTTGCAGATGCGCTACAAGGACCCCAGCGCCACTGTCAATCCCTGGTCCTAAAGGTTCTGGGTCACCGGGGAAGGGAGCGTTTTTACGATTCTGGGAGCTGTCAGTGGGAAGCTTCTCTGCAACTTCTCTGTGTATCCTTGGGCTTTGGCTGTAGTGCTTTGTCCACATCCTGAGAGTTATGTTCCTTTTCTGGACCAGGGTTTAGGGACACAGGTGAAAAGGTTGCAGGCTAGGAGGACCTCCTGACACACCGGGGACAAGTATAGGTAAAATAAAGGGAGGTCAGCACCTGGTACGTGGGTGCCCCTGAGATGTGGGAGAAAGGGGTGCAGGGCCCTTGCAAGAGGGAGACGTGCCTGTATGAAGTGGGGGAGGGTGGATTGGAAGCCCCTGGCTATTTGGGTAACCGCGGACAGTGGGACCCAGTGAGGAAGGGAAGGCCACCCTATGCAGAGCCTGAGATGCCAGGTTAGCAGCAAATGGGCATTTTCCTGCCACTCTGGGAAGAGATGTGTTAAAAGCTTTGATGCACTTTGAAAGCTGAGGGCGACAGAGATCTAAGGGAGGAGCTGAGTGTGTGTGTGTCCCCTTTTATCGGGGACCGTGCCACCTCCTAGGTGGGTCTTGTCCTGCTGTGTCCCGGCCCCCAGGCCCAGGGTGTCCTGACCCAGGGTTTCTCCCTGGAGGCGGTGAAAGTGTCTCAGGAGAGAGACCAGCCTTGTTATTCTTATAGTGGAGACCTTACTTTCATAATACAAAGTAACACACACCCGCTACAGTATCTTCATGTGCTAGTGCTGGGGACTGAACCCTGGGCCTTGTCAGGAGAGGCAAGTACTCTAGTGCTAAGCTCCATCTGCAGCCCACCCACCCCCCCTGCCAATTTTTCTTTTTTGAGATGGGGTCTTATTATTACATTTGCCCAAGCCAGCCTTGAATTTGGAATTCATGCCTGGCCTAGGTTATAGTACTTTTTAAGAACTACTTTCTTAGCCAGGTTTGGTGGTAAACTCCAGTCATCTCAGTATTCTGGGAGGCTGAGGCAGGGGGATCTAAGTTTGAGCTCACTTTGGGTAAGTTTTTAATGACTTAGTGAGATTCTGTCTCAAAATTTAAAAAAAAAAGTGCTGGGAAGGTGACAGGGTGAAAGCCCTGGGATCAGTCCTCAGCGCTAACAAAACAAAACTAATACAAACAAAAATTAAAACTAAACAATAATAACAACAAAACACAAACACTTTTAATGAGGATTGAGGTGTGAGTCAGCAATAGAGCATTTACCTAGCAACCACAAGGCCCAGCGTTCACACAGCCATAAAAAAACTTTATTGAGGTATGATGACTTTGGAGGTTCGGCTGTCTTTTCTTTTTTCTTTTCTTTTTGTTTCTTTTCGTTTCTTTTCTTTCCTTCAGTCTTTTCTTCTCTCCCCTCTCCTGCCTTCCCCTCTCTTTCCTCCCTTTCTCCTTCGTTTGTTTTTTGAGACAGGTCTCACTTTGTAGCTGGTTCAAGGCTAGCATTGAGCTCAAAGTGATCCTTCTGCCTCAGCCTCCTGAATGCTGGAATTACAGGCATGCGCTGGGGGCTGAACCTTAGGCATGCTAGGCAGGTGCTCTACTGCTAAACTATATCTCCGGCCCTTACAGTACTTTTTAATTAGGGGGCACCTGTGGGAGTTGGTCTTTGAATTCTTGGATTGAGGTGGTATAAGTTGTTCTTGGCTTTCCAATTTTTATTTAAAGACAAAGTCTCATTGCAAAGTCCAGGCTGGCCTTGGATTTAGGATCTTCCTGCCTCAGTCTCCCTAGTGCAGGATTATAGGTGTGCACCACTGCGCCTGGCACGGGGAGTGGTGGTGTAAGTTTGTAAGAGGTACAGGAGTTTCATTCCAGCCTACTGGTAAGTCAGCGACAGCTAAGGGGTCTGTGGTTTGCCCAAGGGTCACCGTCCACCTGCTGCAGAGTATCCGGGCCAGGGCAGCGCCTGACAGGCCCGTTCCCCCAGGGCAGTCACTTATCCCCCAGGGATGTCAGGAGGCAGCAGGCACCCCTGAGAGGACCGAGGTCAGCCCGCCCTGGGTGTGGGGAGCAGGGTGGTCAGGTCAGCCTGGGTGCATGTACAGAGTTCGGGCCCCGTGTGAGCTGCTCTCTGACCTCGGTGGGAGACCATGGCCCACCTTGCTGCTGTGTGCACCCTTGTATATGAGAAGAGGCCTGGGGGTCCAGGGCGCTCACCTGGGG